CATCTCCACACCATCAATATATGAATAGCGTCAACAATTCAATTACCACAGTCACTATCATTGGAACTGTGACATTACTTATATTTTGACTCAAACGTACCTTGGAATCTTTCTCTTCATCCTGGGATTCATTCGATTTTCTCTTCCACATGATTTGGCTATTTCACGAATTTCTGTTCTTTGAACGTAAACCTCACGTTTCTCACGACCACACTTTTACTCAGCTGGTCAGTCACGTGATATATATTTGAATGATTACTTCCTGGTTCGTTCACAGGAATTATGGGTATTAACCCTTTTACGCTTGCGCAGTACCTTGTCAACCGAATTTTTGGTTTCAGCATTTCTGTTATTGTTTACTATTTTTTCCGGGTTGAATCTGGGGAACACCGGGGTGGCAGACGTAAGGTAAATGTGTTATATACAAAGCATGCATATTCAACTACAATTGTATCATGAAATGTTTTGCTGTTCCATTGGCCTACCACCCAACGCGATCGACGAATCGAGTGTACACCCGCCCCATAGTTTTGAGGCCTATCTGTAACGTGATTTTATCGTAGTACCCGTTTATTGCTAGTTTGTTTGCACATATCAGCGACCACTGACAACTATTATTTATCCGTTAAGTGGGATTGTGAGATAATAAAACTAACGCGTTTCTTCTTTGCGTTGGAAGACCATCGATTTAAAAAAAGTAAAATTGAAATTACCGATCGCATCTGAATGAAAATTGCTAACAGACATCCTTTGTAGTTGCTAGGCATTGTGCCAACAAGTTCATGCAAATTCCAATACCGTGCTTTGACCGTTATTCGCTCCAGATTAGATGCTTGAGTTTAACATTATTTTCTCGTGTTTATATTAATTTATATTGCGAAATAATTGCAGAATATAAGAGAGCAGCTGCCCGTGCTACTGCACATACTTGTTTCAAAATGCCTGGTCCACCCTATCACGACGAAACAGCATATGATGTCCCGGTGAAGGATACAACTCCGTCCAAATATGGAGCCGGTGCTCTTCTACAATATGGTGCTCTGGGAAATATTGACGAAGAAGATGGTCAGTACACGTAGTAAAATTGTGTGATGTAGTACAAGGCAATGTGCTCTGCATTTGTGTTCACAGTTCCTGCATCTGGTACCGGCCTCCTTAATTAATTAATTTCAGAATATTTGCTTATGCAACAGCACATACTTATTTCAAAATGCAAACGCACAGACATAATGATAAATGAAGAAAATCACAATCAGCAATTGATCATATAAATTTGGAAATGATGTCAACTTTAGCAGTGTCAATCGCTTGTTTTGTGCGAGTAGCATTCAAACTGGAAAACAAATGGAGAGTATTTTGCCTTCCATAGTTATTAGTGTATTGGTGCTGTATTCTGTTACTATTATCTGTAACCATTGCCACTCTTTCAGGGGAGTGAGTAAGTGTTAATAAATAAATAAAAAATAAAATAAATATGTGATGTTTGATTACCATTGCACATGTACAGCTAATATGATAAACCAGTCACCATAATCAGATGGCTACAAGGTCTTGAAGATTGCATAGTTTATATCACAGTTACTAGAAGGTTTTTCTAGTAACTGTGTTATATAGACTATGATCTGATCAGAAATGAATGATTTATTTGAGAGAATGAAATCATGTTCTGTATTGTCTGATGTGACATACCTGTAAAGACAGTGCCTCTGTGTTAGCAAATTTTTGTCTATTCTATGCTAGTATCAACATCCACTCATTTTATTGTTTTATTATCCCCTGTTAGCTTATGGCGATAATAAACAAGGTCAGCAAAGAAGGGCTATTTCTAAACTAGGTAGAGATGAGTTGGAGGATAAATACCTAAGGCTATATGAAGAAAATCTGGTCTTGAAAAAACATGCAAGAAAACAAGAAGACAAAATTAAAAGGTATTTTGTTATATACTAGTTTTGTCCTCAGGAAAATGCATAGGCAATTTGTGGCTGATTTGCATAATGATAGTATGTCATTTGCATATGCTTTTTGTAATAATAGTTACACATATGTAATGTTGAAAGTTTAAGCATGGCATTTCAGTGGCCAAGCTTGTAAAAGCGTGGTGCTTAAAAGGTTTTGGGAGAACACTGTACTCATTTCCAATGTGGTCATCTGCCTAGAATTGTTATCAAATTTATCTCACTTATGGTACTGGTATTCCTGGCCTACAGCATGACAATTTCAGATACTTTCAAAGATAAAATACTTCCAAAGGCCATGCAATTCACTTTTCCACCAAGCTCTTTACACGTCATTCAAACAGCATTCTGGCCAATAGCATAAAAGCAGCTCATCTCAAAACTCAGACTAGTAACATTCAGTCAGAAAATTTACTTTCAATGTCTTCCTGAAGTATATTAGGATAATATGTTTTGACTTTTCCTGCTGTAACACAGTTTGTCATGTTTGTTTACATATCCTAAGTGAGTGATTACTCATATTCACTCTGTTAGTTCAGTTAGTGTATTTTGTTTCTTGTTTTTGTAGAATGGCCACAAAATTACTACGTCTGGTCAATGACAAGAAAAAGATCCAGCACTTGGAAGGTGGAGGTCGAGTACGAGATGTTGAAACTGAGGAAATGATGGAAGACCTGCATGGGAAAATAAGGGAACTGGAAAAACAAAATGAACAGCTAAAAAATAAGGTATGTGAATGCAAAATATTCACATCTTTAACTGCATTTTAATTTTTTTTTATATTATAATTTTGTTGTTCATCATAACTTTAGTAATTTTCATCTGATAGATTATTACCAAGCATCAAATTTTAGCCATGTTTGAAGATGGCACATTGAAAAACATGGCTGGTTGGTTTTATATCCTGTGACCTGCCTCACCAACCTGTTGATTTTTCTCTTCTCAGTTAATGGTTTCTAAACAACAGATTGCTACACAGAATAAAAGGACTGATCCCTATACTTACGTCCAATCACGAGTTGACACAGTAAGTAGTCCATTTTGATCATGGTTGCTTGAAAAACTAAAAATTTCATTGCGGATGGCATCTATCATTGTATTGTGTCATGTTTTATATTGATCCATGCAATGTAAATAGGTACAATGTACTACTGGTAACACCTGAGCAAAACGAAACAACCACTCGGCATAGTCAAAAAAGAGGATTACAGGGAGTGTTAAGTAATAATATTATGATTGTTTCCCCAATAAGAACTGTGTGATGTTTACAGTTGTGCAACTATGTTTCTGTTTATTTAAAACTAGTGTTTGAATTCATTGGCTATTGGCGCCAATATTTTACCTAGCCTTGTATAATTTCATGACAGATAGGTGAGAGAGAATATTGTCCAGTCAGTGTAGATCTTGATTTGTCACGCTGTTTACCCATGCTTATCAATGTAGTTATCTTTGTAGCATGGTCAGGGTGGTTGATGTCCCCACAAATTTCAGCTGAACAACTGAGACTGAACTAAATTTAACATTCCCTTTATTTGAAAATGGGCTCTCGTGACGTCTGAATCGTGTACACTCTGAAAAATATACTGCATAACCAAAAGCAAACATTGTTGCACAACTGTAAACATCACATAGTGGCTGTCAAGGAAACCATCATAATATTATTACTTTACTCTCACTGTAATCGTCTTTTTTGACCATGCCGAGTGCTCATTTTGCTCCGCTCATGTGTTACCAATAGTATATAAAATACAGTTTGTTTACAAAAAATTCCACCGCACAGTGCATATCAATTGTAACACTAATATTAATATTTATGGTAAGGGATAATAGGAGAAAATATGTTTTATTTGAAATCTGTATAGTTGATTCATGCTTATTCTTATTTCAGGAATTATTTGTGCATAATTTTCTGATGTTCTTTTTGTCATGCGTTTCTGATCAACAGGGTAGAGGTCCGAAGCCACCAGCTTCAGAACGGATAAAGAGAGGGCTTCGAGTTCAGGGTGAAGGTGCTAAGTATGTACATACTGATATTTTTTGTGACATATAATGAACTCTGCTTGTTAAATTCATTATATGAACTGGTTTTATTGTTCAAACTGTCATAATGTTGTTGTAGTTGCTTTTAATTAATTAAATCTAGTCAGCGTGTATTTCACTGTCATATTGGATTTCAAAAATTGTTTGTAATTAAAACTTTGGTGTATGAAACTTCACAGTGGACGCAAAACATACGCCTAACTCCTGCACATGGTAAGCAATTACCGAGTGACTTTGCAGCATCAAAACAACAGACAATGTTTTATGTACCTACAAAAGCATTGTTATAGTCCAACCACATCCTCCCATGCAACCACACATCAAAAGCATACCACGTCCAGTGTTTTGATAACCGGTTAATCACGCTTTCAGGAAAGTGTCTGGGGATGTTGCAAAGCCACTTGATAACTGCCTACCAGGCACGGGGGTTGGATGTCTGAAACTATTTTGCACCTGCTGTAAAGGGTGATGACATTTTCAATATTAATGCTCGTTGTTCCTTTCCAGATCAGCAACACCGAGGGCATTCCGTAATGATGTCCTGCCTCGATATGGTCATAGCTTACTAGAGGAAGCACGAGCTGAAAATAGACAACTGTGAGTTAAGTCAGATTATCAAACAAAATTTCTCTGTATTGAAGTATAGTTCTAAATTACTGTAAAATACTTTATTTTTGCTTGGAATTTATTTTTGCTAAAGGTATAATTCAGTGAAAATAAAATTCAGCGAATATTTTCTTCTATTTTACATTCAACTTTTGTCAAAAGTCAGTGAAAATAAATTCCATACAAAACACCCAAAAAGTGATTTCAGCGAAAAATTTATTCCAGCTAAAATAAAGTATTTTACAGTAGTTGGCGCACAGGCTGTGGATAGAGATTGATATTTATTTGCTCTAATGAGATAATTATGATTGATTGGTTCATACTTCAATTATCATAACACACAAAACCACAAGACTTTGACAACTACCTGGTAGTAATAATGCAAACAATCTGATATTTGATTTATTAAATAGTCAACATTCTAGTTTCTTTGGTTACATGATGTCAGCTCTGAAAATCACAGTGAGTGACTGCTCTATATATCACACAAAAGTTTCAGGGAATATATATATATACTTTTGTGTGTTTGCACTAAATACTAGTAGTTGAACATGCTAGAATTGTTGCAAGTCTGAGCAGGGTGACTGGATGGATGTGGCATTATTGTAGTAATACACTACAGTCTTCTTTACTTGGGTATGGTGAATCAAAGTGCCAGAATTCAGCTGTTTTGCGACCAAATTATGATTACTAGTGGAGTAAATGTTTATTAAAATTATTGACAAAAGAGGCAAAATTGTGTTTACCAAGTCTGTGGAGTAGCCACCATACACTTTGCAGTACCTGTACTGAGCATTGTATGTGAGATTGAAGTAATTCATACATCAAACAATTGCCATTTCTAGACCACATCATGGTTGGTTTCTTAATCTCACTATTCCCATGTGTTTTCACAGAGAGGAATACATCCAACAACTTCAAGATCAGGTTGCTATCCTGGAACATGACTCTGACATGGCTAAAGAACGGGTATGTATATTCTCTGATTCACAGGCTGGTTATATCCTCTGATTGGCAGGCTCGGTTCTGAAATGCCCAGTGTATGATTTCCTAATTTTTTTTGGTCATATGCTCAGTGCTAATGTGACTAAGTATACATAACAGATGCAAATGACTCTCGGCCAGTGGTTTCAGTCTTCCCATATTTTCCTGCAGCACACTGTTCCTGGGTTTGGGCCCCAGGCAATTTTAAATCATAATTTTAAAGCATCAAGTTCTATAACGCTATCACATGGTTTGATGTTATTTTCTACTATATGGATAATGAATAACTCATGAATGGTTTCCTGTATTTGTGCTTTACTCACTGTTGTATTATGTAGTTAAATTTTCACTATCGTCTCTAATTTAAAATGCCATGGTCATTAAGTAAACATTGTAGAAATAGTTTCTGTTTGCTGGAAGTCTCTCATACTGTCTTTGAGTCTTTGATCACTGTGTTAAATTCAGTATTATTTCTACTACAGATATCAAGAAATGACAGAGAGCTTGAAGCTGAATTATTACGACTACGAGAACAGATGTCGGCAGGTCAAAGGTGAGATTGTAAATGATGTTCAGGTTCATACACTTGATGCAAGTTTTGAAGTGTAATGTCTGGTACACTGAATACATGTAGCACATTAGAAACTTCTCTTGAACAGTAGAGAGTAGAAACACTATGTTATATTGATCAAACTTGGCCTGTCTGTATTCTTTGCTTTCATTGTCTGAAATGTACAGTCAATTTTTATATCACATAATTTGATCAAAAACATGATCAGATGTATTTAGGTAATTGATTACACAGAGTTTTTCATCGGCCAAATCCATCATTTTGTTTACATAATAAAGCATGTTTCCAGGTGCATACCAAAATTTCACATCATGTTACTGTAAAATACATTATTTTAGATTAATTTTCGCTGAAAAACGTGTTGGGTGTTTTGTATGGAATTTATTTTCACTGATTTCTGACGAGTTGAATGTAAAATATAGAAAGAAAGGTATATTCGCTGGATTTTATTTTGACTGAATTGACATTCAGCGAAAATAGCGAAAATTAATTCCAAGCGAAAATACAGTAAAGTATTTTACAGTAGTTTGAAATACTTTATTTTAGCTGGAATATATTCTCCCTGAAAAAACGTTTTGGGTGTTTTGTATGAAATTTATTTTCACTGATTTCTGACGAGTTGAATGTAAAATATAGAAAGAAAGGTATATTCGTTGGATTTTATTTTGACTGAATTGACATTTTACAGTAGTTTGTAATTTTGCTGCAATTCTACTGAGCTGCACCGTAAATGCAAATTACAACCTCACACAAATTTTGACAGTACAGTTTCATCTTAAAAATCTGTATTTTTTTTATGTATACCTCCTTAGCTGATAGAAAACCTGATGTTTATTACTGGTATATGTCGTAATGCCCTCTGTAGGGGTTTATATCATCATATATTGACCTCTTTTCTTAATGCATGTATTTTTCCCCCTATATAGACATAAAGCTGAGTAAGTCTTCCTATTGTAGTATGTGTGGAGTCATTTCATATCAGTGTCTGTAGTGTTCAGTCCTGCAACATAATAAATAGTTTTGTCCTGGGCAGTGATTCACCACACTGACTTTGTTTTGTCCAAATGTTTGCATGAATTGTTTTGTAATACTAACTATTATTAACCTTTTTTCCAAATGAACAAAATGAAATCACACGTAGAACTCATTGAAATTATTTCACCTATTCGTAAAGGGGACAATGTTGCTTCGACGATGGTCTGCGAATGACTGACCTTGAAACGTTCCATCTAGATCAGATGGCACCCTCATGCCCCGCTCCCCTCCCCTCCAGTTTTTTGCAACATTTTTTGAGGAAAAAAATTTTGTAATCTTTTTAAATGTTCAATTGAGTATTTATTTACCGGTACTTGGCAGTCATGTGACCATATCAAGGTTATATCTAACATCAATTTTTATCTTGTGTGAATTACAAGGTTTTCATAAAATATATACTAGTTTGATATGGTTTAAAACCTGTCTTCTATGAAAATAAATACCGGTAGTTTGAATGGTAGCTATTCATGTGTATTTCAGTCATAGTATTAGACATGAATGGCGACCATGTATTTAATCTACAAGCAATGGCAGAGAAACATAATTCATGTTTTATATAATGATCGCAGTACATTACATGTATTTGTTTTTGTCTTCTAACAAATTAACCTAGCATGATTTATACTTCTTTAATTCAGATGTATAAATCCAATCAACACTGTTTCTGCACTGTTTGTTTGTTTGTTTGGATCACCATGCTTGTTACGACTTTATTTTTCACACTCCTATTCTGCATGTTCTGATTGTATTTTCTAAGCACAGCACCCTCTGTGGTAAGAGTATATAAATCAGACCATGTTATTCTGAAGTGGAACCTTGTGCCAGTTTTTGTTTTGTATTTCGTGGTCACAGGACTTTTCGCGTTCACCCCTTCTTTACGCAATTATATTTATTTTTCAAGAATTTCTCATTGGAATCACAACAGACTGTAAGCAAGTCTAGCATCAACCCACAACTAGGAATTTATGGAAGTAAATGCCCTTTACTGTGATGGCCTTGTTTTTTCTTGGAGTAAAAAATAATTTGTCACAGTGGTGAATTAAAATATGTTCATATGATGAATTTGTATTATCGGGTAAAAATGCGATCTGTGATTCCAAGCTGTCACCATACTGTTTGCACGTGCATAGCCTTAACATCTGAACATTTTACAAATACATGTATTCATTTGCCACTACAATAATGTTATTGACAATGACATGATGATTACATGATTTGAAATACAAAAATGTATGTGTAACTCATATGATTCTTAACATATAAAATTTCTGCCGAAAAGGTATGTACCAATGTTGTGGTACACGTAAACAAGCATAATTTCGACCGCAGTGCTTTTGTTGAATCAGTTTACTATTCGAAATGTGGTTGATATAAATTAACAAATATTTGATATTCAGTTGATACTAATTTTCAATAGATAATTGCGATGTAGATTTGCGAGGTTGTCTGGCTACAAGATTTCATCCAGAATATCATGGGTTTGTATAATCTTTGTCTTTGTTTGATGACACTAAGTATTTATATCCTATAGATCCAATATACAAGAGAATGTTGAGTTGATCAAGCTTCAACGAGAAATCAAGGAGAAATCCACTAAATTGTCAGCCATGCAGGCACAATATCAGAACCTTGAAGATGTAAGTTGTCTATTTTGTAATAAAAAAATGCTAGAATTTTCTGAAAACAATATTCCTACAACATTAAGGTAGCACCAGGAAAAACAAACAAGTTAAACATTGATTTGTGATTCAGACATTCTCGCATAGTAACTTAGTATGCTACTATAATAACATATACTGTGGAATACTTTATTTTTGCTGGAATTAATTTTTGCTGAAAAGGCTTTTTGGGCGTTTTGCTTGGAATTTATTTTCACTGATTTTTGATGAGTTTAATGTGAAATATAGGAAAAAAAGTATATTCGCTGGATTTTATTTTCACGGAATCATCCCTTCAGCGAAAATAGCGAAAATAAATTCCAAGCGAAAATAGAGTATTCTACAGTACATCATCTGGTATAAGTGACCACAGTAGTGTATATTCCGTACCAATGTTTGTCTAAGATTGAATGTTCTCCAACACATGTAACCCCAGAACTTCAGAGTTAATATTTGCCCTCTTTCACAAAATAAACTATATTTGCCTAAAAAAATGGTGATCAGCCCTTTGGTTAATTGGAAATTATGGCCATTTAATGGAGAAAGTATTGAAAAAAACCATTAAAATGTGCAAATTTATTTTGAAGCAAATAGCAGCTATTTATGTATAATCCCATAATATTTTCTTTAGGTTGACACAGCAGACTCAGGCCACTAGGCGGTATTCATGAGTGATTGCTGTCGTTAACCTAAAAAAAAAATATGGGATTATATATTCATCACATGCATATTTCCGCATTGTGAAAAAGTTGGGCAGCATGTCTTATCAATCTATGTGATATGTATTTTTGATCTATTCTGTATTACATCACACTGTGAAGATATGCACACTGTGTATGTAATAATATTCCAAATTTTTTTAGAGGTCCAATAACAACAAGTAAAGAAAATTAGGGTTGGCCTTAATTGGTTTAATAGGAATCAGTGTAAATACAAGCATAGTTTTTTTATACAGTCGTGCAAACGCTATTCACAGAAAATCTTCCTGTGTCTAAAAGGTTTTTAGTCTCATTCGTCCATAATGCAGGTGACAGGTGATATTTCTATTTTCCTCAGAACTTGAGAACTGTGAAGTCAAGTCATGAAGGTGTACTCCGTGAAATGGACAAACTGAATAATCAACTACAAGCAGAGCAGAACAAAGTGATGAATCTCCAGAGTGAACTGAAATCAGGTACTATCACTCAAAGACAACTTATTGAGGTAAGAGAGTATTGGTATAATATACCGTATGACATACACATGTCCTCTTTTTCTGTGTACACTGTCAGATGTTAAGTAGAAGTGATTGTTAGTAGAGAGGTGGTGTTTTGTTTGTACAGTAAGAATATATGGTCCACTTATAGATGGACTTACCTCAATTGGGTAATTAGCTGAGAATTTGTGATTTCCATGGTCGCTGATAGATGATCAGTTTTAATTTTTAGTCATTTAAATGTATTCAAATGTCAAAATGTCTCAAACATGCTACGGATCATGCAAAACTGAACCATTGCAAATTTTTTTGAAAAAATTTCATTCAAGAATTGTAGTCAATAGAAAATTATGTCCATTTGCTCCAAATTATCAAAACAATATAGAAATTAAAACAGTCGAAATGTTGCACCAAAATTTCAACAGGAAAAATTATGGAGCTTAACAGGGTTAAGCAGCACTCAGGAAATACCCAGGTAATTGTGACAGTGCTTATGATAACAACATTTAAAATTAACAAGTCAAATTTATTTATAATGGCAGACTTAATACTTAGATTGCATTGCTGATGTGTTTATTGTAGAGGTATCAGAGTCGTTGAACAGTTGGCTGGTTCCCGCCTCAGGTGTCATGGCGTACCAAGCCACAAGAGGCCGGTAACTAGTAACGGTTCTGGCATTTCCCTTAGTTACCCGACGTCAGCGCTTACGCTCGTGGCCGTTCAGGGGTTTCCTTTTGCTTTAGAAAGTTGGGCGAATAAAAAGAATTGTTTCTTTTGTTATAAATTTGCACAGAACATATCAAATCTGTAAATCTAAGCAGGCAGTATGTATGTGCATGGCTTTATTGTAGCATTACAGACACGTTTACGCAAAACGGAACTTGGAATGTTTTCAAATTACGTCACCCAGTCGCGTTCCTTCCGGCCGGAGAACCGGCCCAAATGGAACAATATGGCGATTACTAGTTACCTGCGTCCTACCTGCCATTCGCAAAGGACGCCGGGAACCAGCGAAGTTGAACAGCAGATAGATTAATAGCAGATACATTTGTAGATTAGCCCGTAGTAATCTACTTCAGTAGCCTATGCTAAGGATCTGCTTTGGGTCTTGAATACAGGCCAGATTTAATCTGTACTTAGCGTTAGCCCATGCTAAGTGTTCATGCACATTTTCTTAGTACGGGTTAAGATATTTTCCTTGTTAAGCCCCTGCAATGGAGCTGTGCATGAACGCTACTTATGTAAAGCCAATAAACTAGTCCACAATACATGTATATATAAACTTGTCATACTGAGTTTGTTTCTAAGTCATTGCAATTCAGGATTTTTTTTATCTATGAACTTATTTCATGTTATCTGTAATGTAAACCATAGTGATAAAGTACACGTGTACCACATTGTTTGGAACTAAGCCAATAATTGATATACCCGATATGTAAATCTGTTCTAGCTACAAGAAAGAATATCTGATTCAGATCGAGAGAAGGAGATTTTAAAGGAAGCTAATGAGAAACTACTAAGCAGGTGAGATGTGGATTGTTTACTGCTTATCAACATTTCTATGTGTTGAACATGCATTGTAACTACAAGCAAGGACATAATAGTATGTCATTGATGCATGCTGTGAATCCAGAGATGCATGTAATAAGTTATCAATACTGTGTGTGATTTGCTTTCTATTAAATTACATGTGCTTTCAACCACAGTTGACACAGACACAACAATGCTGCAGCGTTTGCACAGTTATTATGTACAAGAAATCGTCACATCGC